GGAGGTTAGGCCGCTGGGGGCAGCACCGGGCGCCTGCGGAGCGATGCGCACGTGGGTCGGGCTCCCAGCCCCGCCGGTGAGCTGTGCGATGGAGCCCGGTCCGGGGCTTCTCCGAACTTGGGGTTTCGGTACTGGTGCTAGAGCCTGCACCCTCGCTTTGCCCAGAATGGGAGTCTGTAAGCCTCTCTCACAAACCTCGCCGCGTTCGTAGCGGGGAAAGCCAGGTAAGCAAGCGAGGAAGGTGTGCGCGCCGCCATCAGTATCGGAGCTGCCGGTTCCTTTCCTCCAGCTCCGCGAGGCGGACTCGCGCACGCGGCTGCGTGAAGGCACCTGGTGGAGAGCCGGGACCCCGCTCTGTGCTCCCTCGCTGGCCAAAGGGCATCTGGTGCCTGTTTCCCATCCTCATGCCATAGGTCAGCCCCCAAGAAAATGCTCCTTCACTTGACCTGGCTGCCAAGGTCCTCCCTTTGGTTCCTAGCAGCTCCTGAGTCTGTCTTACTCTAGCCTCCGCCCTTTTATCTTCCTCCGCCCGGAAGGGACTCTCAGCCCCAGTCTTTTTTTTTTTAAAAAAAATCCCAGGGAATGTCTGCATTGCCTGCCTTAGCGTGGGTCCGCCGCCCTCTGCTGTGGCCGGGAACGCGGCGCCCACTGCCCTGCTCTGGTCTAGACGGGAAGGTGGGCGCCAGGAAAAAGGAGCTGCTAGGCAGATAGTACCTGAGAATTTTAACTCCATCGTCTCCCTGCCTTCCTCCTTCCAGGGTTAGTGGAGAGTCTTTGTGTCTGTGAGTCCGTTTTCTTGGCCTGTTGGAAGAGTCCACTCGTGGCGTGGAGGCCTGCTGATGCTTATCTGGCTGTGAGCAAACTTTGGCCACAGTGACACTACATATTAAACCAAATCTGTGTGGCTTATAATAGACATTTGTTCTGCTATAGGGCTGTGTGTCCCCAGAGCTCAGCTGGTCTGGGTAGGCGTTAGCTGGGTGGCCCAGCTCTAGGCTGCAGGTGGCCTTAGGCCTGGATCCCGCTGTGGGTTAGGGTTAGGTCTGCTGCACGTATATTCATTCTAAGTCCCAGACTGAAGGGGCAGGGGCTGCCGAGGACATGGGTGTCCTGCAGGGTCATCGGGGCACGAGAGCCACTAAGATTCCATTGACCAGAGCAAATCAGGGCGCTAAGCTCGGCACCACTGGGGGAGGGGCGAGCAGTGCACGGATTACACCTGGTCTGGAGAAGAGCAGCTGGCGGTGCCAGCCGTTTCTGGAGGCTCAGGGCTTGCATTCCTTGTGTTCACCAAGTTCCTCTCGTTTTGTTCTGACGCAGCTGGTCTAGAAGCAGTAAGGGCCTCTCCGCTCCTTTTTGGATATTCCGTGCCTCCCCCAGTGTTCCGTGGGCTTTGACTTCAGTCACGTTCCTGTGTCCGGCTGAGGATGGGGGGACCCGGGGGGCCCTTCGCTGGGAGCAAAGGCTTTCCTGAGCCTTGTTGCTGAGAACACCCCGAGAGCGAGGTGGGCGGGAACAGCACAGCTTTCCAGTTGGCAATGACTGCGACTCGGGTTGGGGGGCTCGTTGAAGTCAAAGAGCTGGAAAGCGATGGAGCCAGCCTAGAACCCAGCCCTTTGGTTCGGAAAGAGCCTGGGTCTGGCCTGTGGGCAAGCTGTTAACTTTGTCTAGGCCTAAATTCCCACCCCTAAAGGGGGCAGGCTCGGGCTCATAGGCCCTCCCCCGGAGAGTTACTGGAAACGTGAGTGAGATAGCAAAGCATCTGGCACGGGCCCGCCATGAGGAAGCGGGTACTCATTAGCATTAACTCGCGCTCTGCCTGCTGCGCGACCGTGGAATGCAGTGAAGAACCTGAAAGTCCGTGTCTGTGAAAAGCCGTGTTCTGAACGACGTGACCAAGCGTCGGTGCGTGTAACTGCTGACCTTGCCCTTCTTTCTGACGTTTTAGCCAGCGTACCAGAACCTGAGGCAGAAAGTGGATAATTTTGTGTCAACGCATCTGGACAAGCAGGAATGGAACCCGACGATGAACAAGAACCAGCTGCGGAACGGCCTGCGGCAGAGCGTGGTTCAGTAAGTACGCGGGACAGAGCGAGAGGCGGTAACGCGGGGCCGACACACGGAGGCCGGTGAGGTCACTGTCCGGTCCAGGTGGACGGCGGCTCCACAGGAGCTGCAGCAGACTGCTCCTTTACTAAAACTCACGTTCAAGGACGCACAGAACTCGGCTGAAATTCTTGCTGGTTTCTCCAACCTGCGGAGGCTTCCTGTGCACATTCCTACGATGCATCCAAAGTCACTCCAGCTGGGTTGGGCACGAAGATATTTTTCCACTGATTTTTAGAGAGAGTGGGAGAGAGAGGGAAAGACAGAGAGAAACATCGATGTGAAAGAAACACATTGATTGGTTGCCTCCTGCACTCGCCCTAACCAGGGCCTGGGCCAGGGAGGAGCCTGCAACCCAGGTACGTGACCTTGACTGGAATCAAACCCAGGACTCTTAGGTCTGCCGTCTGACACTCTATCCACTGAGCCAAGCCGGTAGGGCTGTCTGTGATTCTTGCTAACATTTTGAATTTGAGGCAAATTCTAATGCCATTTTGGAATGAAGATTTGCTACTTGGGCCTGGAGTATTGTCACCGGTGAGACCCTGCAGCCCCAGCATCCGGCCGCTGGCTGGCCGTTCAGGCCCAGAAGCTGGGTCCCAGGTCCACAGCGTGGAAGGCTTCGCAGGCATCGGGCTCTGCTGTTGAACCTAATTGTGACCGAGTCTTTTCTCTACGTGATATCTGCCCATTTCCCTGCTGCGTTAGGCTCCATCTCCAGGAAAGCGAGCCGCTCTGGCTTCCCCTGATCCACACTGTGCTTTCCCTGATCAGGCGGCCACACCCGTGAATCTGCCGGAGATGGGGTGCAGTTGGAAAGTGATGAGCTTGTGACTAGGGAGGGGCGCCTGGCGCGGCACACACTGTGTCTCGAGCTTCGCTTGGAGGGCACGCGCTGCCTGACTCGGTCTCCCTGAAGGTGCCCGGCTCTAATGGCGATGTGTTACACCCAGGCTTCCTGCCAATAAGCTGTCCGCCCCCGCTCCCGAGGCCAGGGCGCACTTTGCCACCGCTCAGCCTCAGGGCCCAGGGCCTGTGTCTCGTCTCACTGGTCGCCGTGGTGTCCTCTCGTTCGTTTCCTGGCCCCGTCTGCCCAGTCACTGCAGGACCTGTTTCTACTCAAGCAAAGGCTTGCCTGGCCCAAGCGCTCTCGCGTCTAAAGGAAGAGAAGTAGAGCTTACCCATGTGCTCTTGATGGTATTCGCATATTTCAGTCCTTGGGAAACACTTTGGTTTGAACCTCCATGGGCTCTTTTCCAAACTTTTCAAATGTGATGTGTTTCCTGTCACCAAATCTTCCTCATTACCTGCCAAAAATTTTGGCTAATTTTTGCTCTACTCATAAAGGAGTTGGGGTGGATTTTAGCCCCTTAGGAGCTCAGAACCAATTTGTTTCCTGTCTGTTTACAAGTCCCTAGTGTGTGTTCTAGGTCACAGCCGCGGGCCCCGGGGAACTGGGACGTGGCCGTGCGTTGGCTGGAGTAACCGGGTTGCTGCGGGAGGCTCCTGCTTCGGCCGGTCAGAGAACAGATGTGAAGGAGATGGAGCCGTCGGGGGGCTCGCTGGCCTGGCAGCGCAATGACGGTTTCAGCGCTGCCCGTCACCAAGTGCTTCAAGTCCCTTTCACTCTCTGGGTCAGGCCTTGGCGCGTGGGCCCGGCACAGGGAGGAGGTGCAGTGGAGGAGACTGTGAGTCAGGCGCGATGGTAGCTTCTGGTGGGGAGCTGCTGCTCTAAAGTGGAAACACGGCAACTTGAACTCTGAGCTAATGGGTCGCCTGGGAAAGAACTCCCTGGAGTAGCTGCAGCTTTGACCAGGGGGGTGTTTGCTGGGCTTCCACATGCCACTGCTGGGGACGGAAGGTCTCAGAGTGACTGAGTAACAATGATCTCTGTGTCTCCACAAGGTCAGGGATGTTGGAAGCTGGAGTGGACAGAATCATTTCTCAGGTGGTGGATCCCAAACTGAACCACATCTTCAGGCCACAGATAGAGCGAGCCATCCATGAGTTCCTGGCGGCCAAGAAGAAAGAAGCCGCTCCAGCGCCCCCTCCAGAGCCGGAGAGCCAGGACGCCCCGGGCCCCGCCCAGGACGCCTCCTAAGGTTGGTATTGTCCTAGTGCAGACAGTCGTCTCTGACTTACAGACAGCGAGTGGGTGATGGAGGGGAGCCATCACCGGGGAGCCGTCTTGTCTGTGCAGAGAAGAATGAGCAGATGGGCCTCACCGACCACTTAGTCCTTTCACTGCGCGCTGAGGAGTAGCGTCTTCCCGAGTCAGTGAGGAGTCTGTGCCCCGGAGCCCAGGGTCCCAGCTGCGAGGAGGCGCTGCCTTAGGCACCCGCTGGGGTGGCTGGGGTGCCCCAGGGAAATTCAAATGAGAGTCCCTGCTTTTCTGAAATTGCTTAAATGTGGGTTTGCGATTTGGATATAAAATCAAGCAGTGCATTCAAAGGCGGCCTCGCCCTAAATGGGCTGAAGTCTGCTTGAAACGCTGCTGGCTGTCCTGTGGCTAAAGGGAACTGCGTGCCACTGTCAGTTACCAGGGCTCTTCTGGGCGGCGCACCCTCTTATTACCTTTGGGACTGAATGTTTAAAATCGGCTGTGGATGCACAAAGCACTGCTCCTTCAGGGTCTGAGCTGTGGCAGCAATGGACTTGCACTTGGCCGTTGTTGGGGACCCCTGGACTTCCTCGCCCTCACTCAGCTTCGGGTCCTGTTTGTAAGGTTCCTCGGGGTGTCTGTTATTTTTGAGAAGCATCAGCAAGTGAACAAGCGGGAACACTGGGCTCGCATGGGGCACTTGGGCAAGAGCAGAGCTGCCTTTGGTGCCCACGTGGGAGCCGCCCGCCACGGGCGTAAAACAGTCCCCTCACGCCCTCCTGGTCTAACTGTAAATTCCTTTAGGAACAGAAACCTTGGTCAGTGTCGTCTCATCAGTAAGCATTTTGATAGACTCTCTTCTTTTTAGACGACACCTGGCATCTTCTGGAAGCTCCACTGAACAGTGGTGAAGTGGACTCAGTTCATAACGGTACGGCTTCAGACGAAGACAGGCCAAGGTCGTCGCTGATTTCACCTTTGACTTTGGAGCGTGGTCCACGCTGATCGGGGAGCAAGTTTGGCGGCAGGAATGCTGGCCTGTGTGCCCCTGCCACGTGGCCAGCCTGTCCCAGGGACCACACCAGCAGACACTACAGAGAACTAAAGAAACACTACATCAACCAGGGTTGTCCTGGAACAGACCTTTATACTTGAACTTGGACTCTGCGTGTGGGCTTTAGGGTTTGTGTTTGGGGAAAAACAAAAGCTGCAATGGAGGAAGGTGAGCGGTCCCACGGGGGCAGCTCCTGGGAAGGGCCGCGGTGAGCTGGGAGGGGTCTGTGGCCGGGCTTGTTGGCATTGCTTCTCAGAGTTGCAGACTAGAGTGTACGAGCCGTGCGCATCGAACGGCTTTAAAGTTGTTATGACCCTCTTGTGCGTGAACCTTGTAGCTTTAGTGTCCTTTCCCCGAAGCGGCGACTAGCGCAACCCCACAATGCAGGTCACCCCGACACTAGTAAAGGGAACGTTTGCAGGCTCCCTGTCCAGGGCTGGTTCCTGCCCTGCCAGGATAGGAAGTTTTGGGTGTGTTTATTGTATTCTCATGTTTGCGTTTTTTAGAAAGTGGGTGGTTAATAGCCTAAGTTTTATAATAAAATCATTTGATACTCTTACTCTGAGGCTCCCACTAAATCTTAGACCCCAGGTCCGAAAGGTAAACCTTCCCCCCACCCACATGCCACTCCTGTGCACAGCGCGTGACCTCGGCGGGGAAGGGTCGGAAGAAGTAACGTGAAATGCCGTCCCCTGAAGCCGCAGGCGCAGGTGGACGTGGCGGGCAGGTCCTCCCCTCCCCTGGACCAGTTAGTGCTGGTCTGCAGCTGAGGGCAGTGCCTTATATTCATGTTTCTCAGACTTGAAAGTGCAGGAGGATCACCCAGGAATCTTGGAAAAATGCAAATTCTAGTGAAAAATTTCTGGGTCGGATCTGGGCGTGTGTCTAACAAGCTGGTGATGCTGAGGCTGCTGGTGCTCTGCAAGCACAGTGCCCCCGCCCCCGCCCTGGGTCTTCGGTTCTTAGTTGAGTCCGCTACTGGATATTGTTAACCTAATAACCTATCACCTGCAAAAGTCCTAACTTAACGTCATCAATCGGTTCTCGGAAACTACAACATGAAGTAAAACGAAATATGGCAAAATCTGTCCTACCACCGGCTAATTGGTATACACAAGAGCTTAGTTCCCATGGCATCCTGGTCACAGAAACATCACCAAACTTCTACATAAAAGACCCAAAACACTGCTAATATTAAAGAAACAAATGCGAGCTATATGTACCTTTAAAAATGATGAAGAGAAGCAAGACCATTATTTCCCAACCTGCTTATTCTAGTCCAGGGTCGGCCACAGGTGGCCAGTGTCCTGGCAGCTTGGAGGCAGCCCCGCCCTGCACAGGACATTGTGTTTCTATGTCAGGAGTCACAGACCAGAGATGATTTCATCTGAAATGGTTATCAGATCCAGAAGTCACTACAGACACCGCTGTTGGCACAGAGGACTGACTTTTTGGCTCAGGTGAGCCCAACTGAAAGGAAGTAGTGCCCGTAATACCTTGAGTAAAAGTAGTTTCATTGTCAGGCTGGGGAGGGGAGTCAAGACCAACGGCACTAGGGGAGCTGGCAGAGGTTTTCTCTGAACTCCCCTTATCTGCCTAAGGACAGATCCTCCAAAAGGAACTGAATTGTCATTAATCCTCTTTCTGGGAGTTTCATCAACCAGAGAAGATTGACTTATTACAGGAGAGGAGACCAGAAGTCCACACCACACCCAGACAAACTCTGTCACATACTATCATACCCCCCATCTACTCAAGGGCCCATTTGTCTTACCTAAAAGTCATTTACTCTCCCCAAAGATGCCTACACATCCCCCTTCCTCCTTCCTAATTAAGATGGTATTTAAGCCAGAGTTCTAAGCCACCTCAGAGAGTTACTCATTTTTCCCTGGGTATCTCCCACATATACATGAGGGACACATGTTTAATAAACTGTTACTCTGTTGTTTGTGTTTTCCTCTTGTTAATTTGTCTTTTATTACAAGAGTCTCAGGTAAGAACTCTGTAGGGAGAATTATTTTTGTTCTACAACAGCAAGAGATTGGATGTGGCAGAAGCTAAACCAAGTATCAGAGGCTGAATGTGGTCAAGTTTTATCCAGCACGTGATGTGGAACAACAGTTGGGTAAAATCTTGAGTCTGGGGCTTCTGTGAGAAATGAGGTGTTACGCTTTGTTTTCCCTGAGCCCTTTTGTCCAGCTGAAAAGTCTGGCATCCTTGGCACCCTTCATCTGATCACTGCATGGAGGCTCTGTCACATATGGCTTCTCTACATTCCTTTCTTGCTGTGTAGGTCCCCAATCATTCACTTACCCAACGTTACAAGTCCTCAACTATCTGGGCTTGCCTTCTCCCCTTTAATTTCTGCTTACACACTGGAGCTTTTTTCTGAGTTCACCTGTTTCCTGTAAGGCCTTGCCAATCACAGGTAATGCCACCATAACACACTGCCAACACTCTACTTCCCAACCTCTTCCCTAATGGCCACAAGTTCATTAGGCCCATGATCTGCCCCCAAGTTACTGCTGCCCAGTCCCTATCGCTTCTCCTCGCCCAGCCCCACCTGGTGGCTCAGAGACTACTTGTAACCTTTGACCTATTCCTACTTCAGGGTCACACAGTATGAAGTGACAGCCCCTTCCTGAAGGAACCAGCCAGAGGGTGGTAACGATGAAGAGAAGAAAGGGCTGAAGCAGTGAATCCATGGCCTGGGACAGCGCCTGCCCGCTGGAGCCGGTGGCCTGGCTGACTCCGGGCTTGGCTACACCAGCAAACAGAGGGGCCACCTCCCAGATTGGGGGCCAGGCTGGCCCTCTGTGTTCTCTATTCACACCATTATCATCTCCACCCGCCCCTCTGCTGGTGTCTCTTCCTGTGGCTCAGTGTCAGCCACGGTGGTGGCAGCTGCCTGTCTCTGGTGCCTGCCCGGGCTCATTCCTCATACACCAGTCAGACTGCCCCGGACGTACCCACCAAATCGGGTCCAAGTCCACCCAGCCCTTTTCATGAGCTGTGGCAACTAACAGAAACTCACTTATCCTATATAATAAAAGGCTAATATGCAAATAGACTGAACGGCAGAAAGACTGGTCGCTATGACACACACCACCAGGGGGAAGACGCTCAATGCAGGAGCTGCCCCCTGGTGGTCAGTGCGCTCCCACAGGGGGAGCTCCACTTATCCAGAAGCCGGACTCGGCTAGGGAGCGCAATGGTGGTGGCGGGAGCCTCTCCTGCCTCCACAGCAGTGCTAAGGATGTCCAACTGACAGTGTAGGCCTGCTCCCTATGGACATTCCCTGGGGCTCCCGGACTGCGAGAGGGCGCAGGCCAGGCTGAGGGACACACCCCTCCCCCGAGTGCATGAATTTTGTGCACCGGGCCTCTAGTATTCCGTAAGTTATTAATGTTAGGATTGTACTGGTTTCCACTCCAAGCACAAATCCCTGCATAAATGCTTGGGCAAGGGCGGATGAAAAAACAGTGGACATTATTGGATCAAATCTCCACAAAGGAGCGTTGTCACACGTCATCCTCATGAAGCCTGTGCCGGGAACACCTGGTCTGCCGGTGACCTGGACACCCAGGACCACTTCCACCTGCCCTGGACCAGCCTCCCACCTCTCCACATCGCTGGGGACGACGTCAGCACAGCCACTGCTGGTAAAGTGGCCCTTGATTATCAGCGGATTCCTCAGCCCCAAACCCTGACTGAGCTCTGGGAGACCAGCTGGACCGCACAGGGGCTGGGTCTACCCAAGCCGGTTCCCGGATGGCGGGCCCGCTGTCCTAGATACACGGGAGAGGGAGCCATCGACCTCCCACCTGTGAGACGGGTCAGGAGGAAAACACCAAAATACCGTGCATGTCCCCAGCAGAGACGTTCCCGTCGGAACAGAGCTGCTGCCGGGCCCTTCCCTCGCCATCTGGAGGAGCTGGGTGATGTGCTCCACTGTCCCTTCCTACCTGTGCAGCCTCTGCATTCACCGGTCCCCTCTGACCCTCCGTCTCCTCGTCTGTAAACTGCTTTGAGGACTGTAGCTGATATTCAAACAGCAACTACTGGTGTTAATTTTACCTGGGAAGGCAAACAACCTGCACACAGCACAGTCTCCCACTTCAGAGCGCTCAGGACTCAAATCACAGCTCCCCGAGAAGTAGCCACAGCCGTGGGCAAGGTTCTCAGCCCGTCTGCATCCGTGTGGACCTGGGTAATGGCTGTGAGGTCTTTCTCTCGGCCTGAAGCAGACCTGGCCTGACTCTGCCTTCCCGCTCACCCCGAGGTCGGCCATTTTCCCGCCGAGTGCGGTCTGAAAGCTGCCTTTGTGGGCAGCCGCCCAGGCCCGACTGCATTGCTGGGTCCTGTCAGTGCCGCTGCTATAGACCAACAGAGGTGGGGAAGTAACACCACTCCCTGAGGCCCACAGGAGGTCAGCAGGAGGGTGCACCCTGGGTAGATAGAAATAACAACCAAGCCCAGGGCAGGCCATGGGACAGGCAGGCCACGGGACAGGCAGGCCACGGGACAGGAAAGTCCATGGGACAGGGCAGGCCACTGGACAGGAAAGTCCATGGGACAGGGCAGGCCACGGGACAGGGAAGGCCACGGGACAGGCAGGCCACAGGACAGGAGAGGCCACGGGACAGGGCAGGCCACAGGGCAGGGAAGGCCACGGGGCGGGGCAGGCCACGGGACAGGAAAGTCCATGGGACAGGGCAGGCCACAGAAGACCCCTGGCCGGGTAGGGCAGCAAGCAGGACGCTGGAGCCAGAGGGCATCCAGGCTGCATCCCCGGCTTCTGTGTTGCCCACCCCGGTGAGGCCTGGCCATCACCCAGCCCTGGTTTTTGCTCTCCTTCTAACTTGCCTCCCGCCATATGTGGCCACAGTGCGCACGCCCACGTACCTTATACACCACCTCATGATACCCTCACCATCCCATGGGATCGGCGCCGTCACCGATGAGGACATGAGTCTCAGTACCGTGACCTCAGCAAGAAACGTGCCTCTCGGGTCTCGTGTGCAGGGGGCCCAGGGACAGACCAACCCAGAGAGCAACGTGTCCTGCAGCCAAGCGCTGGAGTGTGGGTGCAGCTGACGGGCGACAGCGGGGAAGAAGGTGATGTCACCGAGACAAACCTCGGTCCTTAGGTGACACCAACTCCTCTGGCAGGGACTGCTTGACCTTGGCAGGCTCTCACTGACCTTGAGACCTTCCCAGCAAGTTTGCTCCATAACCAACAGGACAGACCTGTACGTGCCCACAGAGCTCCCCAGGGGCCAGCCAGATGCTGGCAGCTGGAGCACTTTATTAGATGGCTGTCCCTCTGCAGGGAAAATAACCTTTGCCTATAGTAGCCAGATCTCGTTTTGCTGTCCATGAAACAGTCCCGGCTACAAGAGTCTTCCCTTTCATCCAGTGGAAGGTTCCTGGTTCCCCCCCCCCCAGAGCTGGGACCTGCTTACAGCCCAAGGCCCATCTCCCTGCCCGGGTGACTGGGACACTCACGGAGAGAGGACACGTGGTTCCAGGAGGCCCAGGCACACAGCTCAGCGCTGGCCCCTCATCCACAGAGGAGAGGGGAGACATACCTGGGACAGGCTATTTGCTGTGTGTTTGTAAATCTATGACCTTTTTTTTCCCCCCTTTAACACTCTTCTTGGAGCAAAAGAGAAAACTTTCCCACTATCGTTTGGGAAACTCAGAAGTATATTATGTCAAGATTCTGGGGAACGACCATTAGCGTGAGTGGAGCCATGGAGGCAGGCATGTCTCCTCCTCCCTCCCCCTCAACTGGCACCCTCCCCTTCTCTCCCTAAGGGTTAGAAGAGCAATCCCAGGCCTGGACCCCCTCCGGATCCCCTCCCCCTCCCCCTCCCCCTCCCCTTCTGGCTGGTAACAGATTCCCAATGAATGGCTCCAATCTCCCTCTTGTGCAGAATAACAAGCAAATCATTCCCGCGCTCCTCCCGCAGGAGGGAGCAGATGCCTCTGTGAGTGTGGCTGCACTTAGGAACTTCCTCCAAAGCCTGCAGAGTGGAGCCGGAGGAAAGACTAACAAACGCCCCCTCAAGGTCAGAGGTCAAGGTCAGCGTCAGAGCGATAAGTCATTTGATGGTATGTTCCTCCCCCAAACCTATAACCTCAGTCTAATCAGGAGAAAAACAGCAGACAAGTCCCAGCTGAGGGATGTTCTACAGAACAGCCGACAGGGCTGCTCACACCATCAAGGTCACCAAAGACAAGGAACGTCCGAGAAACTGCCACAGCCACAAGCAGCCTATGAGAGGGCCCTGGGCTATTTCTCAGGGCGCTCCCGAGGACTTGGGGGCCAGCGTCCCATGCGAGTGTTTATCCCGTAACCACCTGCCCGAATCAGCTATTTCAACGGGGTCGAGACGCTCCGTTGGTTCCCATGGGAAGCTCTGAGTGGAAAATAAAGGAATAAAGGCCCTAGCTGGTTTTGCTCAGTGGATAGAGCATTGGTCTGCGAACCAAAGGGTCCCAGGTTCGATTCTGGTCAAGGGCATGTACCTCGGTTTGGTTGCAGGCTCCTCCCCGGCCTGGGCCCTGGTCAGGGCACGTGCAGAAGGCAACCAATAGATATGTTTCTATCACATCAATATTTCTCTCTGTCTCTCCCTCTCTCTTCCACTCTAAAAACCCATGAAAAAATATCCTCTGGTGAGGATTAGGAAGAACAACAAAAAGACTTTAAAAGGAACGTTTGTGACTTGCACGCTGCTGATCCCGAGACTGTTTGGACCGGCAGATGCTGCAGGAGCCGCCTCTGTGTGGAGCGAAGCATTTGGAAGAAGCGTCTGGAAGCAGCGCGACCACCCCCCATGTCACTCCCAAGCCGTTGCCCGCAGGCAGCCTTGCTCCACGCCAGCGTGCACCCTCCCCTGAGTGCAGTCTGTCCCGTGAGTTCTGCTGCGCTGTGGG